CTGTATAAATCAGAAGAAGGGAGAGAAAAAGGAAAGATTGATGGGTCAAGTGGGGGACTTGGGGTGGGGGGCTGGGGGAGATGCGGAGGGAGGAAATGCAGTAAATGTGAGTATCCTAAGCTGCACAAACAGGAAATGTGTTTCAGAAGTGAATCCAATTCTCAAGTTATGTAACCTGGATAAGCAAGTGGCAAGTGCTGTATAAATCAGAAGAAGGGAGAGAAAAAGGAATGGGTGAAAGGACCACGGATTCGGCACTTCCACAAGGCAGATCTGTCCTTTTTGGGGGGGGAGGGGGGTGGGGGAGGGGGAAGCACTTTTCATGGCACAGACACTGAAACAGTCATTTATGAAATGAGAAAATGGTAGACGCAACGCATGCTTGCACGTTTACAACTATTGCTAGTGTCATTAACTTGACAATGCCACTAGAAAACAACCTATCACATCTCCTCTCTTGGGTGGTGCTTAGATTTTCACAGAGAACTTACTTGGTTGAATCTTTGAACTAGTTATACCAAGTGTTACGTAGTACGTATGTATGTATGTTCCCACATTAATTTTTGCTGTTTCAACGCAAAAGTTGCTTTAAGTTAAAATAATAAGAAAAGTATTAGTACAAATAATCTAATCGTTATTGCATAATTTCATTTGTACCTAAATGCATGTATACCATAAAATTATGGATTTAAGAATGGAATTAGAAATGAGGGCGATTTATTAGGAACTGTTTTCCTGAAAATGAATATCAAATTGAAGTTTCTAAGTTAAATGTTAAATTTGATCTCTCAACTTTACGAAATATACATTTTTGATCCCTCAACAAAATTTTGCACTTTTTTGATCCTTCAACTATACGAAATGCACTCCGTTAGTCTTTCTGTTAATTTGGGCCGTAACTCACTCATGTGGCATTTTTTATAGTTTTTTTTTATGATGTGGCAAAAACAAATTTAAAACGTGTCAACGTGAAATTTTTTTTATTACAGCTCATGCCCAACTCATTATATATTTTAAAAAAATATTACAGCTGATGATGTGGCATCTTTATTATTTATATTTTTAAAAAATAAAATAAAAAAATTATATCCATCTCCTTCATTTCTTTTTTTCTTTT